TTGGTCTCGAGAACCTGTGCAATACAGGCAACAGTGGCGTGCTGTATGCCAAAAAAACCCAATTGTAAGGACAGTTTTCGAAATCTAGCTTAACCAAGTACAAAAAATTCAGTTACATGTAAAGTTTTCTTGAAGATCAAGTTTTGACACAAAAATGGCAATCGGCAGATGAAGTAGCTAGTAGCATATTTTACTTCTAATCACCATTGCAGCTGCATATCCCATAGAGTTTCGTGAGGAGTTCGTAGTTTCCAAAATCAAAGAGCTTAGTGGATTTTCCCCTTGTTAAGAAAAAATTATTTCATTTTTATCTTTTATGATAGATCCAGCGCCACTTCCATCCACAGTTTGCATGTATATGATTTTGTGAATGGCATGGTACCATGTTAAAACAGAAGACACCAGGAAAATCGCCATTCTTCCTAGGTAAGTTCATAAAATTTAACTTTTTTCTGTTTTATATCAGGGTTTGCCTTAAGGTGAACACGTGCAAAAAAAGAAGATAAAAGGATGTTCAACCAAAGTACAAAATGAACTCATAAAAACCTGTCCTTGTACTTTGTGCTGTAAATTTAGACTCATTCCGGTGTTCAGAAACTTACCTCCATTTCATTTTGCGAAGTTGTGTTACCTGCTTCATAACGGGGGGCAGCACTTGTTGGAGGTTTGCAGTGAAGTCGTGTGCCTCAAAACAGACGAACACTACGGTGTTTCGTGTTGAGTTAGGATGTTGTACATTCACAATTTGAAAGCACATCTTAAGAGTGGTGCCTCCAAAATCCCCGCCTACTTTGACCCAAATTTCATTTTCGGGGATGAAGCTGTGCCAAATTAGGGACTGGTGTCTGGAAAAAAGGCAATGTGTTGATCACTTTCTGTCACTTTATCTGTATGTGAAGGTGTAGCAATTTTTTATTGAGTAATATTACATTAACTGTATAATACCTTTGCAAAAATTATTTTTTTGCAAGTTTCTACTGCTTTATTAAAAGAATTCTTGCTAACCCTTCCCAATAATATTGGTCCAATTACATTGCTTTTAAAATTTCTTATTGGATGGATGGATTCACACCTGTCATGCCTGTCGAGATAGTCTAGAACCATGGAAGACACATCCTTCACTTTTACACAGGGTACCTCCTTTGTCTCCATGCCATTTGTTCCAGTTGCTCTGCTTGATTTGAACAACAGTGGAGCCATTGTGCCAGTGATGTTGTCCTTCAGGAGCTCTGTCTGCTGACCCCTCATTGCCCTTTCAGATGGAATGGACACACCCATCTGTCCTAAGTACCTGTGTAAATTTTTCATTGAAGCCTCATTTGCAGTTTCAGATTAATTTTATTTTTTAGAGTGGTTTAGTCCCCTGCAAACTGCATTTTACTTTATTTTTATCTGTTTCTTTAAGAAGATAATTATAATTGAAATAAGAAATTTATCTAAAAATGCAAAACTGCAGTAGGTACGGTGTGGTGTAGTTAAAGTATTTTACACATACATCACATTCACAAGAGCAAAGCCATGACTGCAAGTTTGCCCTTGACTAATTTTGTATACATGTATCATAATTAAAGTAAGAGTTTTCTGCCTTTTAATGTGTTACATGTACCTGCGAAGTTTTCGTAATTGCTCCCATGCAAATTGACACTCCCGCATCATTGCTAGAGATGAATTTACACTCATGACCTCCCCACTTTTGGAAAATGCACTGCTGCAACCGGCAGCCTCAGATTCAGAGTGATTTACCAGTTGCACATATACAGACTGATGAAGAAATGGATGTCAGCAAAAGATTACAAAAAGAAAAAAGGAGGAAGGATGGGATATTTAGTTCAAAAAGAGAAACTGTATTTTTTATCCCTTAGTTGTTTATTCTTTCAATTTTGTAAGTGGGCAATTCCGATTTTTTTAATTAATATTAATTTGCTTTCTGTGGTTAGATCCATACATTTTTTAAAACTTGTACCTCTTCTGTTATTTCTCAAATATTATTGAAACTGATATAGTAATTGATTGAAAGCTCCTGGGATGTAAGTTTAATCGGGGGGGGGGTACAAACATACCGATGGAAGGTTTAGTTTAGCGAAATCCATTCCACCCAGTTTTTGTCTAAACGAAAACGGATGGTTGGTATTTGCCAAGTTCGGCACAACCGTACAGGGAATTGCACGTGCAATTTTATGTTCACTTCAGTATTTCACGGAAGACGAAGACAATTTGAGTCACCACCACAACCGTGAGTCTTTTTTAGAGAAAAATATCGCCTTGCTTACTCCAAGAAACGTGCCAGGCACTGTGAACGTTGAAAGAGATTGTAGCCAGAAAACATAGAATTCTCTTCACCAAAGAAAGCTTTGGAGCGCGGTTTCCCGCCTTGCAATTTACCTCCGACGCCTATAACAAAGAACACAACCCTCAGTCGTCCCGTGGGTCATTGCATATAACAACGGTGTATAACGGTATCATTAAGTCAGTATTATCCCATAGTATTTAAAATGTTGTGTGATTTTGGGCTCCACGGCTCTGATCTAGCGGAATCTCATCCCATCTCATCTCTCCTCCCTACTGAATTTCCATATCAAATGGCAAGATTAGTAACCATTAAATTTTTAAACTAGAGACCACTGCACTGCTGGAGTAGTTTCGGACCCATTTTATTAGTCTGTCATTAGGCGTACCTCAACCGGTCCATTGACACCTTGTTGGAGATCCTTACCATTATCCCCAAGGTGTCAACTGGTCGTCCGGTGATAAGAAGAGGTACTTTTGGCAATAGAGAAGGCTAAATACCTTCGGAAATTCGAACTGGGTGTGTCAATAAAACACATGATCAAGTCGGGGCACTTGAGACCCAGATAACGCATTCAACTCGGAACAACAGAACTGCATCATACGGATGACAGGAATTATAATGATATATAGACTGACAAAAAAGGTCTTTTCTGCTGACAGAAAAAGGGTTCGTACCATTTCATCGGGTTACGTTATCAAACTTTTGTTGGTAATGGCCATGAGGACAAAAACTGTTAACTTTGAAAAATATACGAAAAAGTATTTGCATCTGACTTGACGTGTCATACAGTCTTGATTTTCCTTAAACAGTTAAAAACTGTTACGCGACGCAATCACACGATTAACATGCATCGGTAGGCAATATGGGCGATGCCCCATGCGAGCAAAATCAGTCTTTTCAAATTCCATATTCCATACACGGAGCAGGCTGGTGCTTTAATTAAGGCTCGTTAAGGGCACCACGCGTAGATGCCACCATGGTCTGACCGGCCACAGACCTCGAAGAGAGAGTTTTTTTTTTCCTCCTTGCGGTGTATGATGCAGCCGACACGACAGTTCTTGGTCTTTCAAGCCTGGGCACCAGTGACAGTCCAACAAACTTTCCTTTCAACATTTTTGTGACATCGTCACTATTTCGTATAGTTTTAAACATCTTGTACAAGGCATATATAGCTGAAATCTTTGATGACACAATAGGTTCCTCTTATTGAGACGGTTGTTTTATTTTTAGGGTTTAAAAACACCCACTGTATTGGGTTGGGATTAGGGTTAGGGACACTGGTTAGCGTAACGGACCAGCTCATTGCCACTTGACGTCCGCGGCAACCTTTTGTGTACATTTACATGTACTACAGACATACTGCACATACGTGTACATGTACTTGGAGAGTGTGATGTCAAACCCTATACTAATGCTTGCCATGTAGAAATCGGGTAAACCATGTGGCTTCTCGACACAGGCTCTACCCCGTATAGTACTAATGGGTTGACTGCGCAAAGTCAAGGCTAGTTAAGTCGGGGACTGTTTGGCCTGACGTTCGTCATCTTTGGCCTCGACATTTCTGTCAAGGGACACTCAGACAAGAGGGCAGAAAAAAAACTAATAACAATTCTTTTCAGTACCCCAAGAAAAATGATTGTCTCAATTTGGGAGAAGAGCAAAGAAGTACAAGTGAACATGGTGTACGCCGACAGCCCGATTCACTGAGTTATATATTCAGCGGAGGACAGATCGAAAATAAATGCTCGTGGACGTCAACAGTTTTGGTTTAAAGGCAAGAAACCAAGTGTAGCTTAATTTTAAGCAAAAATGTGAGCTAACTAAACGATTGTCTCTCCCAGTTTCCATTTGTTTATTAATTGTTATATTCATTTCTTTTATTCTTAGCGGAGTAACATTCCATAAATCCTTGGATATAAAAATATAGGATGTCTGTTGGGAAGAAATATCTATGTCACTTCGCTCACATTGACTCGTGAATCGCACAGAAAAATTCTTGAAAAATAAGCCATTGTCTCCATCAAATCATGTCAGGGTCACCGGAGAAACACACAGTGCAGCTCTTGTTCAAATTTTTTTATTCTTTTGACGTACAAATTCACTAAAAATGTACACAGCCCTTGCCTCCAATCTCGCAAAGCTTATTAAATACGGCGGTCCAAGTCAGGGTTATGTTATTTATGTTATTAATGCATGCACATGGGCATATTGTGGTTGTAGCTGTTCGCATACACGTACTGTACATGTACACATGCAAGGCGAACGTTTCTAGCAGTCACACACGTGGGTTGTGAGTTATTAATAAAAAGTAATAAATCCCAAGAATTTTCGAGCTGCATGGTCCTTGTGGACGTACCGTACATGTACATGTATGTTGAGGTCTACGTGGACTTCGTATAGCATTCAGAGCAGTTGCCTTGACCTTCAATTTTTCCTTTAAATTTCCCACTCGGCACAAAACAGCCTGCTGAAAAATACTCAACTAGTCCCTTTCACGTGGCATCACTCTCAACATCTGTGAACACTGAAGATTAGTGTGTCTTGTCCTTTACATGTCTTCAAATAAAATACTCGTACATTCATGGATTTATGATGCTTATGAAATGTTTATGTGAAAGTAAACAGACCAGGGGCCTTCAACAAAGGCTACGATCGATCGTAACTTAAGTTGCGTAGGGTTATCCTTCGCAACTTAAGATGATTCCTAAAATCGATTTCAAGAAAATTGCGACGAGTGAACTCGTCGCAATTCCCATGGTAATTCATCGTAAGTTACGATGACTTACTAGGTCATCGTAACTTACAACTTTGGACCAAAGAAAGATTGTTTCAGCAATGGCGCTTATGTTTCTTGCGAATTTTGAGGCAAGACATGCTCTTCGAAGAGAAAGAATTTTTCGTGATAGAAAAAAATTGGGCCAGAAATCGAGCATGCCACACAGGTAACACCTAAGACTTACCATTAGTTAAACCATTTAGGCCTATTTATTTGTACTATAAGTTTGTATGTTCCTGTCTGAATTCTCGTATCGAGCTTCTCACATAAACGATTGTCATGGCCGGGGCCGCTGGGGAATTCAAAGTTAATCATCAATTATTCATTCATAGCGCCGCCATTTGTCGGCTCCCAATAGCTTAATGATGGCGGCGCCCATGATTCAACGAATGTGTGGGATTTCTGCCGCGTTGGAATTGCCGAAAACACACACTTGCGAAATGGAGCACCTTTCTTTAAGGGAGTGTTTTTCCTTTTTATACCTTCATATCTTTTTGGGAAAGAGGTTCACTTGATACCACCTTGCAGAAGCCTATGAAATTAGGCTGTATTTAATAATCTAACTTAACCAACTTTATGAATACATAAGGTATATCGCAAATAGCGACCGCAAGGAATCATGGGATGCAAAAGGGTCGATAGGGCGCCACCGCGCGCTTACGTTTGGACAGTCCGAGTGAAATTCTCATGACAACGGATTCCTCAAGTTTGCTTGCAGTTTTTGTTTGCCGTTTACGATGGGAATTGGTGACCACTGTGCTGTGTTTGGTTGTGACAATACTCGACGACATCCAGACAGGTGTGTAATTTGTTGAAGCACATAAATACCTCAATATTTGAAAGTGTAAAACTATAGTCGCCAAAGCGCTCTACCCCGGTCTTGTCCGTGACGTTGTGCAGCAGGACGTACAGTATATGTACACGTACGTTCCCTTTAGGCTTTTTTAGTTCTTCCGTGGTTAGGCCTAGGACCTGGGCTGACATATACGGCTCTCTGGAATTCTTCTAGTTACACATGCAAACCTCCTCTGATACAACATTGTTGCTTTATGTACATTCGTGAACATCACTGTGGTAACTGAAAAAAATTTTTTTTTCTTAATGTTCTGTTCAGTTCTCTGACATGTCTGACTGTATTTAATGCAATGCATATGAGGGCCAGGGCCGTTTTCATAGTATTGTGTTTGTGCACAGTGACATAATTTCAGCCTCTGTCTATTTGCACAGTTAAAATGGTGGTAAGATTTAACAAAAATCTACTGGTCATAATTGCACATTGGGTGTGGTGGCCTGTTAAAAAAAAGGACCTCCTCCTTCCTTTTTGTTGAAAAGATAGGACGCTGAACATGTTTTTAATATTGCCTTTGTCATGTGTCTGCATCCCAATTAAAGTCAATGGTATTGTTTATCATTTTCTTCACATGTAGGTATGTGATCAAGGAACATGTAAAGGTATTAAAGTTCCACATCTGCCGGAACAAGAAACACTTTCCTGTTTGGACCCAACTTCTTCAACGGAAGAATTACAAATTACTGCATCAACTAAAGTCTGCAGCAACCATTTCAAATATGGAGAGCCATTTCCTGTTGATCCACATCCAACATTGTTTCTGAAGGGTTACAAGACTGAATTGGATACGTCAAGACGTCCACCAGTGAAGCGGAAGGCATCAAGTCCAACTACACCACAGCCAAAAAAGAAGACTAGAACAAGCTGGTTTAGATCAATTGGTGTTCAGGTGGATCCGGTAGATATCGAAGTTGCCAGAGTCGAGCATGACCACTGCTATGCAAAACTCCCGTGTATTAAGAACACTGTTTTCAGTTCAGGCTATGTTAATCATCTGGAAGACGAATTGTATAATAGAGATACTCAGTGCAATGAACTGAAGAACAGATTGAATGAGGCTAAAAATTATTTGGAGAGACACAGACAGGAATCTCAGGCCAAAACAAAACACCTATCAATGAGTGACATTTGCCATTCAGATGAACTTGTGAAAGTTTACACTGGACTCCCAAATTATGCTCTTTTTCAATGGCTTTTTGAAGAAGTTAAGCATCATGCAAGTAATATGCAGTACTACAAAGGCAAAGTGTCCCAGACAGACAAAAAATACCAAAAGAATAACCTTGAAAAACCGGGACCCAAAAGATCACTAGCATTAGAGAATGAATTTCTGATGACACTCATGAAACTAAGACTTAATCTCCGAGAAGAAGACTTGGCATTTCGTTTTGGGGTTTCCCAGAGCACAGTGTCACAAGTAATATCCACTTGGGTACCCTTCCTTGACAAGGAACTTCAACCACTCATATACTGGCCTAGTGAAGAAGAAATCTTAAAATACTACCCCCAGTGTTTTCATAAATATAAGGGTACAGTTCGCTGCATTATTGACTGCACAGAAATTCAGATTGATAGGCCCTCACTAGCTGCATCTAATGCACAGGTGTACAGTCAATATAAATCCCGGCCAACTCTGAAGTGCCTTGTTGGTATCACGCCAGCGGGCACTATTTCTTTTATTTCCAAACCTACTGGAGGAAATACATCTGATAAGAAGCTTGTTAAGATGACTAACATTATTGAAAAACTGGAACCAAATGACATTCTAATGGCTGATCGGGGTTTTAATATTCAAGAACTGTTACTGCATAAAAGTGTGAAACTCATAATTCCCCCATTCATGCGAACAACCAGCAGTTCATCTCAGTTCACAGAGTCCGAGGACACAAGAACAAAAACTGTTGCCAATGCTCGCATCCATGTTGAAAGGGCAATTGGCCGATTGAAGGAGTTCGCAATACTAAAAGGTCCAATTCCACTGACAATGGTTGATCTTATGGAGTCAGTCCTTGTGGTGTGCTCTGCCATAGTCAACCTTCAGCCAGTACTTGTTCCTCTGTCATCCTAGCAAACTAAGTAAAATATTGAAGGGAAACTTGGCTTTTTGTATTTCTTTCTTGTATTTAATTACAAGCAACAGCTTTCTGCCAAATCCGATTATTCTGACATATACAAAATTGTGTATACAATCAGTGCTCAAAAATGCTCTGACTGCTCAATGAATCTTGTCAAGATAACTTCTGAGCACATATAATTGTTATAATACTATGCAGCCCTTTTATAATTTACCAATTGTTCTGACATTGTCTTGGGATACCCACCTACATGTGTATTTTCAGTGAGATGAATGGAAAATAAATTACAACATGGAAAACTAAAGAGCACTTTCTTTTCACTGTTACTTTTCTTTTAATTTTAAATTACAGTGTATTTTCTTTTTACTTTGAAACAACAGTATGAATGCCACCTGGAACTTCATGTATGTTGTCAATCTCAGGCTACCAAGGACGCATCATTTAAGAAACCAATTGTGGTTGGACACATATATGCATACGGATCTTCCATACAAAATAACTTATTTTCCTCTGCAGTGCCTTAGTAGCACCCACAAACAAATAACGACTTAAAAAGTATTCTTAGACAGTGAAAATATCAAGCCTCATTTTTTAGACAACATTGTCTCATGGAGCATATGCACACAGTGTCAAGTGTTATGTGAAGATCCTTCCCAGATGACTACAGTTTACGAAGCCTCGACTGTCGCAGTCTTTTTCTGCCCTTTGTTTGAGAGCTGCATGAGGCACACTTCCAAACAGACTTCCGCTTCTTGAGAAATGCTTCTGAACCAGTTATGCCAACACAGCCGTAGTGGAATCATCGCATGCAAACATCACACCCAATGCTATTTCGACTATCCTCTCTGGGGTTACTTTCACATTCCTCAGTACAGAATCCACATGGATACGTACATGTTACATTAGAAGCAGATGGGTTCATTTTCACACTCTCCTCAACCCTGCACAAAACACTATCAATGATTTTACGGATAGAACGATCCCGAACAATGTTTTGTACTGATCTTGTTCCAAATTCTTTGAGAATTCCCTGAACAAAAAATATGTACAATTTTGGTTTCAAACTAGCAATGAACTCTGTGTCAAACTGAATACGTTCTGCATGAAAATTGTTGTGTTTACTGACAGTTCTGACAATAAAATCGGTCCAACTGTATCCGGTGCACCACATCTGCACTTGTACTTGGGTATAGTATATGTGTGTCCGACGTACTTGCAGCATTCCATTTTCCATTGTCAGGCAAGATCCCTTCTTGGTTGAGAAGTCTTGAATCTCACAGAGTCTGTGGGTGTACGGGTTTTTAATTTCTAACAGGCCATCCCCACAAACGTGGCACCTGACAATACCGTCAGGTGAAGCCGCAACATAAGGGCAATCGATATTGACCCACAGACCCGTCTCTTCACAGGTAACACCCTTG